TTTTACTTTGGCTTTTCATATAAATTTTAGAATCGTTTTGTCAGCAACTCCAAAAAACATACATAAAAACCGAAAACAAAAACAGAAAAATCTGCTGGAGTTTTGATTGAGATTTCATTAAATGATTAGCCTGTGGAGAATTGGCATCTTCACAACAATGAGTCTTCCTATTCATGAACACAGTATCTTTCCATTTATTTAAATCTTCTTTGATATCTTCCATCAGTGTTTTACAGTCTACGGCATGTGAATTCTGCATATATTTTGTTAGATTTATAACTATTTCATGTTTGTAATGGTATTGTGAACCATTTTTTTAAATTTTATTTTTGAGTTGTTCATATTCTTAATATATAAAAATATAATTGACTCTTATATATTGACCTTTTATCCTCTAAGCTGGTTTTTCTGACTTAAGTCACCTCTGCTTCTAATCTATTCCACACGATGCAACTAGACTGACCTTTGTAACATTAATTTTTGTCAAATAAAGTTCTTCCTTTTTTAAAATTCTTTAATGGTTCCTTACTTCTGGCGTGGTAAAATTTCATTCCTAGACAAAAATTACTGTTTCCTTCAAGATAAGATTTTTGCTGATCTCTCCAACTTCGTATATTAAAGCATCTTTGCCCCCCTCCACTACAATGCATACACACACACACACACACACACACGCACGCACGCACACGCACGCAGGTGCACTGTGTAGTGCCCAACGGCAACATTTTGAATTCGAGAAATGCATCAGTCTGTCTTTGGTTTTTGAATCTTTTCACGTTATGCTTTCTTCCTAGAACACACCTCTCCATAGCCACAAGCTTTTTGCCTACCACCCTTCTACATATCCTTCAAATTTTAGTTAAGAAATTATTTACTTTGCATAGTCTTCCCAAGCCTAGAACTGGTACTTAATTCCTATAGCACTTATGCACTGTTCCCTAATTGCCTGTCTTCTCACAGACACCATTGCGCACATAGGAGTAGCAAAGAATTTTTCTTCTCCATAAAACAATGTTTAAATGTGTCAGTAACTGTTCTAAACATTCTACCTGTATAAACTGATATACTTTGTACAACAGCCTTGCAAGTTACGTGTTTTTATCGTCTCCGTTTTACAAATTAGGAAACTTTGAAATAGAGAGTTTATACAACTGCCAAAAATCACAGAATTAAGAAGTGCTGGAGCCAGGATTTGGACCTATGCATTCTGTATCCAAATCTCATGTCCTTAAATACTATTTCATTTTATTTCTCTATACTGTACTGTTTTCGTATTATGTGCTCAAAAAATCATTCATGTTTAAATAAATTAACCCACTTGCATGAGCCTTCCTTCCCCATATTCCACTGAAAATTCTCTGGATAAGTTTAGTGATGATTTCCAAATTTTTTCACCTAAAATATTTCTATATTTCAACCTGTGTATCACTTGAGTGATCTTCAGAATTGGAAACTGTCACTACTACTTTCTTCCTTAAAGATTTTACCTTTCTGGTGCTACCGTCCCAATTCTTTTTTTTTTTTTTTTTTTTATGGACCACCCCTCCATTTCCTCTTACGTATGTTTCCCACGTCTTACTCTTCTGTCTACTACACTTTTTCTTTGTGTATATACTCTTCCTTAATATCTTTACTCATACTGAGTTGCCATATAACTTATATGCTGATAACCTCTAAATATGTATCACCGATGCAGACATCTTTCTGAAATTTAGTCCTGTCTGTCTGCCTATTGGATAACTTCCTTTTTCGGTCCCATCGATACTCCAGAGAAAACTATTCTAAACATATCACCTTACTCCAAATCTGCCCCTCCTTCATAATTCCCCATTTTATTAATTGTATTTTGTTATAGTAAGAGCATTCCTTTATTTTTGGTGTTTTACTTGATTATCTGTCTTCAAAGCCCAATAGATTGACACACGGCAGAAAAGCAACAAATGTTTGTTAAATAAACTAATAACTTGTAACTGAAGAATTGGTTTTCATTAGCATGCCATTCAATCGTCCCTAGATTTTTTTGGCATTGAAGCCAATTATCTGTAATCAATGTGGATCCTTTCATTTTCAATAAGAAAAATAAGCATAGTCCATTCTTTGACTCATCTTTCAAACTTAAAATTAAAATTATATCATGTGTATATATTAATATTCTTTTGTCCTATAAAATAATCCAATGAATAAGATAATTAAGATATATGTATTCTTCAAAACATCGTGTTGTACATGATAAACACATACAACGTTATCTGTTAATTTAAAGTAAAATAAAAAGATAATTACATATCTAAGAGAATGCATAAAGATCAACATGGTGTGCCTTTGAATAGACTCTGTTTCAAAACTTGATTTGTATATTTGAGATTTTTTTAACAGTATTTTGTGAAATCTGAGTAATTATCCTGTTTAAGAACAATCAACATGTCTTAATTCTCTATAGGCACCTGACTTTTCAGAAGCTTTCAAAGTAATATTTGTCAAAATTAGTCAATATAAGTCAGTTTTTGACAGAATTTGTTCAAGACATGTATTTTGTTCTGTAATGAGATCTCTGAAATATACAAAAATGTATCATTTTTTTCATTGTCTCTATCTATGTTTCACATGCCTTGTTTTAATTTGGAATTTCAAATACCATTTCTCAAAATTATATAAAGTTTTTTTATATATATAGTTTAATGTATTTTAATAGCAAACTTACAGGAACAGCACAGAAGACAGACAACATTAAAAACGTGCACTTGTATGTAGGACAACTCAGTTAGAAAAGTGTAATGAATGGATGGAATCTACTGCACGATAAAACTGCTACAAACACCATTTAGTTGCCTTCAATAAGAAATTTACTTGTTTTAAAAAAAAATCCAAATGTTGGCATTGTCCAGAAAAATTTAACAGGTTTATTTATAATTGTTATAAAGTTAAACTGCTGAAACTTGTTCACTGAAACATTTTGACTTGCATTAATGCTTTATGTCCCTGCATTTATATTAAAAATTCACACACAAATGAAAATGGAAAAACTGCCCATACCGGATTTCTGTCTCCTATTTTTCCACTTGCAACCACATACTTAGGTAGCTTTTGACGTCATGGGGGAAAAATATATATATTATATATTATATATAGAGAGAGAGAGAGATTAGATAGATAGATGATAGATAGATAGATAGATAGATAATGTTCAGAACTGCCAATAACAGAAAGAAGAGATTTTTTATTTATTTATTATTTTTTTTTAGAATGAAATGTTTCCATCATAGTGGATTCTTAAGCACCTTCTCCACGTATGCGGTGTGCTAGCTCGATGTCTTTTGACATAATTGTTAAACGTTCGGCATGGATAGCAAGCACACAGGTTGGTGTCTTCGAAAAGGCCAACCAGATGGGCCTCACTTGCTTTCCTCAAAGCACCAATAGCTGCGCTCTGTAAGTGCAGATCTGTTTTGAAGTCCGGAGCAATTCCTAGCACCAGACGCTGGAAGGGGAGTTTGTGAATCAGAAGTTCAGTGGACTTCTGATAACGTCTAATTTCACTGAGGGCCACAGAACCAGGCCTGTAACGATGAGGTTTCCTCAGCCCTCCAGTAGAGGGCGCACTCTCGGGAGCGGCTTCTGCAGCCAGTTTTTTTCCGGTCGATCTGCGGGCAGCCGGCTTTGTAGGAGCCGTGGTGTACGGACCTGCTCACTTACCTGCTTCTCCTCGGGCTGGAGCTCGGCGAGCGAGAGGCGACGCTGGCATTAGAGAGCGATGGCGGCGCGGCGGTGGCTGCGAACACAATTCTCAAAATTGCATAAACTTTTAAATAATTTTGTCTGTGAGTAATATTTAAAGTATTAGCTCTGCGAGAATATTTGCTTTTTTACTGGGAATATAATCGCATCCAGCATAAGCAAGTGTTCTTACTTGTTTGGATAAAGAGTTTATATGGTTTCGTATTCCCCCCAAAGAGATATTATTTTTCTAACTTTCTTTGTGTTCTAAATATTTCTCCTTGACTAATTTTGAATCTGTCTGTTAGGCTAGTTTTCTGAATTGCCTGGACAATAATCTCTGAATGTAGCTAATGAGCACCTTTGTACTACTTTTGGAGATAGCATCTTCATACTTCACATCACTTGTAAGGGACGTGGTAGCAAGAACCCTAAACTGTGCTAGAATCCCACATTCTGGCTTCTCATTTCTTGATGGCTATTGTCAAGATATAAACAATAAATAGGAGACAGGTATTTACCAAGAATCTCTGCTTCTTTTCAGTATCTGCCATGGGCTGTCATTTTAGAATCCTGACTATAAAATCCAACATCTTTGACTGCTGAATTTCTCACTGGTTCTTTCTTTCTATGCTGGTCAATTTCTACTGGTTCAATTTTTCTGTTGCTGCGAATAGAGTTTCCTACTAAGGCTTCACCTTGATATTTGTGCCTGGAAAACATACCCTCTTCACTGGCCACATTCAAAGCTACTCTGTGGTATGATAAAGGAACAGAACACTAAAAACTAGGAATATTTAGGAAAATACAGAATGCAACTTCACAATAATTATACAGGCAGGAAGAGAACTAAAGTTTTTGTAGTCAAGAACCATTAGAGAGATTATCTGGTATGTGACTCAAAACGATTTTTGAAATAAAAGGCAATTATTATTAACACCCCTCTTATCCTATTTCATTTTAGTATATATAATTTATAAACATGACTTTCTTGAAATCTTATTTTCTTATTCCTTATATTCTTCATTAGAGTATAAGCTTCATGAAAGTAGAGACTGCTTTCTTTACTGCTGAATTCAACAAACACACAGTTGTGCTTGGCATATAGTAGGCACTAAATGAATATCTGTTTAATTAATCCATGAATGAATAAAGGTACATGATCTAACTAAAGCATATTTTTTCATTTGATTCTTATAAGAGCCAATTCAACTGACTATTTACATTTCATCTAGGAAGTGAGCTGTGTCTTTCTATTCATAACAGTTAAAGTCGCTGAGCCCATGATGATAAGTAACCAGACTTTCACAGTGACAGAGTTTCTCTTCTATGGATTCCCCCAGTTGGAAGAAGGTAGCCTCCTCTTCTTCATTCCTCTGCTCATCATCTACATATTCATTGTTATTGGGAATCTCACTGTGTTTTTTGCAGTCAGGATGGATATTCACCTCCACAAACCCATGTATAATTTCATCAGCATTTTCTCATTTCTGGAGATCTGGTACACCACTGCCACAATTCCCAAAATGCTCTCCAACCTCATCAGTAAGCAGAAGACCATCTCCATGACTGGCTGCCTCTTGCAGATGTACTTCTTCCATTCACTGGGAAATTCGGAGGGGATTTTGCTGACCACCATGGCCATTGACAGGTATGTTGCCATCTGTAACCCTCTCAGATACCCAACCATCATGACCCCCCAGCTGTGTGCTCAGCTGTCTGCAGGCTCCTGTATCTTTGGCTTTCTTGTGTTGCTCCCAGAAATTGCATGGATTTCCACACTACCCTTTTGTGGACCTAATCAAATCCACCAGATCTTCTGTGATTTTGAGCCTGTGCTGCGCTTGGCCTGTACAGACACATCCATGATTCTGATTGAAGATGTGATCCATGCTGCGGCCATCATCTTCTCTGTCTTAATTATTGCCCTTTCTTACATCAGAATCATCACTGTGATCCTGAGGATTCCCTCTGTTGAAGGCCGCCAGAAGGCCTTTTCTACCTGTGCAGCCCATCTTGGTGTCTTTCTTATGTTCTATGGCAGTGTGTCCCTCATGTACCTGCGTTTCTCTGCCAAATTCCCACCAATTTTGGACACCGCCATTGCACTGATGTTTGCAGTTCTTGCTCCCTTTTTCAACCCCATAATCTACAGCCTAAGAAATAAGGACATTAAGATTGCAATTAAGAAGCTTCTTTGTATTCAGAAGATGTAAGTTAATGCTAGATCATAGGTAACTCTCACTATAGATGTTACTCTAACATACTAACCCATAAAATTAAAATATATCTCATTTACTTTCACACTGGTATTTGTGTCTGTTTATCCCAGGTCCTCTTCCCATGTAAATGTTTATTCTGTTTATACATGTTCAATTAAGATAGCGTGGACTTCCTGTCTGGACTTACACAAACGTTTAAAATATATAGAGAAAATATGATGTTTAAATCATTAAAATATGTTTTTATGAACATTAATTTTGTTATTTTATATAAGCATTATTATTATTATTTAAGCATTATATTACATAAACATTCATAACAACTACAGATTGTATAATATTGTACTTAAGAGACTAAGATCTGTATAAGAGGTTAAGATTCATATTTCAGTGGTACCACATACTAGCTTTGTGGCCTTGAACAAGTTATTGATTTATCTGCATCTTAGTTTCATCATCTATGGGCGTAAAAGTAGTATATTTTAAAAGTAGAACTTTATATGTTCTTATAAATATTAAATGAGTTACTCTAAAAGTGCTTAGAATACGAGAGTGAAAAATAAGTGTTAACTATTAATATTATTTGCCACTAATTCTATTTGTTATTGATGTTTTAAATAATGCTATAATAGTTAAATATTAAAAACAAAAACACATAGTTAGAAATACTTAGTTATGGGCCGAGCCCGTGGCGCACTTGGGAGAGTGTGGCCCTGAGAGCACAGCAGCACTCCCGCCGCGGGTTTGGATCCTATATAGGGATGGCCGCCAGTGCGCTCACTGGCTGAGCACGGGGTGCCCGGTCTCAAAAAAGGACAAAAAAAAAAAAAGAAAGAAATACTTAGTTATGGGCCGAGCCCGTGGCGCACTTGGGAGAGTGTGGCCCTGAGAGCACAGCAGCACTCCCGCCGCGGGTTTGGATCCTATATAGGGATGGCCGCCAGTGCGCTCACTGGCTGAGCACGGTGTGCCCGGTCTCAAAAAAGGACAAAAAAAAAAAAAGAAAGAAATACTTAGTTATGATTAATACTTATAACATTTTTGTTGCTGTCATTTCTCTTAGGCCAAGGAGGAGTTAACCTTTATTTTACTTTGATTGTTATGGCTGAATTCATCTAATTTGGTTGAATTAAACTACTTGGTTGAAAGTAATCTCAAACATATTTCAAAGTGATGGATGGATAGATAGACGGATAGATATAGATATATACCTTTTGAACTACATTACTCTTGATTTCATTTTTGTTCACTATAAAGTGTGTTCTATGCATTGCCACCAGAAATTAATTTTCTAAAATTCAGGTTTACATTTCTGTAGAAATTTAGATTTCTTAGATAGCAGTTTAAACTCACATACTTAAATTTTCTTCCACCTGAAATATTATGAAAATAAACAAAGACAGCACTAGATAAACTCCTAGAGCCCTAATCACTGAAAAGTGTTAAGAATAATAAAGAGCAAAATATGTATATAGTTACCTAAGGACTTTTATGATAGCTATTTTAATACTCTAAAATATCATATATCACATTCCTTTCAAGAAAATAAAAAAGTAATAATTCATCTGTTTGGCTGAAGTATCTACAGCATCAGTTGAATCTCTCTGTTGCATAGTCCAGCAGTGATCAAAGATGTATATTAAAAATTTGCAGCAACACTAGGACACACACACACATAATAAAATAAAATTAAACCAAATCATTCTCAGTCCTGGGAAAAAAAGAGTGCCCTCAGTTGATGCCCAAAGTTGAAACATTTTCTCAAGTATAAGCACGTGAGATCCAACTGAGGGAAGTACTTATGTACCAGGTACAGTACAAGGAACAAGGAGAGGAGAGCTTCGAAATTAAGTGGGTAGAATTTTACAAATAGCCCATGGAAAAATAATCAATACTTGAAAAAGCAGATGCTGAGAGTTATGGTCTCTGGGGAACTCTGGAGAGACAGAAGGGAGTCAAAATGCATATGGAACTTGCCACCCGTCAACGGAGATGTCTGCTGAGCTCTGTTCAGAGAAGGCCTGGCAAGTAAATGTGAACTACACAAGCTTGAGAAGTGACGAAGTACCGGATGACCTCAGGCTGCTAAAACAAAAACAAAAATATACTACTTCTCAGCACAACAGCAATCACCTATAACTAATAGTCAACTTCATAGCAGATGTACCATATATGCTATGAACTATTGGACCTTTGGCACATTGCTCTCTTGTTATTTTTTTGTGTGTCCGTAAACTTTCTGTCTCTCTCTCTCTCTCTCTTTCTCCCCCTCTCTCTCTCTCACAAACATACACGACATACACATGCACAGATTGCCTTTAAAAAAAAAAATCACTTTAACCTTCCCCTACCTTTTATATTTTAAGACTATTAACTTTGTCAAATACATGGCCCAATAATTAGTTGTAATTAAAGATTGAGATAGAGACAGAGTCAGAGACATAGAGATTTGGGGACTAAAAGCAAATGCTTTCTCATGAGACAGACTAACTCTAATATAAAAAATTACTTAAAATGTTTCTTATTTAATATTTCAGTGATATTCATGAAATTAGCAGCTATTAAAAAAACTTACTGGCAAATAAAAAAAACTAAATATAAAATATGGTAGAGATATTGAAAAGTATATTAAATACTACAAAAAATCAAATTAATGACTTAGAAGATTGCCTGAAGGAAATATCCAAAAACTTAGAGAAGCCACATGAAGGACCAATTTTTACATGCAAAGGGAGAAGGAATAAATGGGGAATATGTTAATATATTCTATAGACCAAATATGTGATTATATAAATTCCAAAAAAAAAAAAAAAAAGAATCAAAGCAGACAGAAGAAAATAATAATTAAAATTAAAGGAAAATTTTCCTAAGCTTAAGAATACTTCAGTTACCACCAGATCAAAAGAGAAGTTTTTTTCATGTTATGCAAAGAATTCAAAATACAATTTGGCCTGTTAACATTTTGATTTTCAAGAAGAAAAAAATTATAAGAGGTTAGATAACAAAAATATGATCCCAATGCATAGGAAGAGAAGTTAGATAAAACTCAGAAAAAGAATGTCTTTCTATCCCAGAATCTGATATATATACCTCAGAAGAAGATGACATAGCAAAAAACAGCAAACTTTGTAACAAAAAAAAAAAAGAGAGAGAGAGAGAGAGACAGAGAATTTTGAGTCAACATATCAATTGATTTAATTCACGGAGTACAGAATATTCCTGTGAAAAAAGGTGAGATGTTTACTGTCAATAGAGAAGTCAGCAGGACCAATGAGAGTTGTTTAGAATAGGAGAGATCAAATACGCATTTACACCATGAGAAAAAAAAAAGTTCCTTCACTTTTTTCAATATTGGCACAAAATCACCAATAACATGTTTATTTTGAAATGGTTTTATTTTCTTTTTTAAAAATGTTTAATTGTACAAATTTATGGGGTACAACATGATTTTCCATATATGTAGACATTGTATAATGATCTAATCAGGGTAATTGGCATATCGATCATCTTAAACATTTATCATTGTGATGAGAACATTCAAAGACCTATATTCTAGCTATTTTGAAATATACAAATGATATTGTTAACTCTAGTCATGCTACTATGCAATTGAACCCCCAAACTTATTTTTCCCATCTAACTGTGGCTTTGTACCCATTGATGGATTTCTCATCTTTGTTTCTCCTCCCCCACTGTCTCCTCATCCTCTGGTAACCAACATTCTACACTCTGCTTCTATGAGGACCGTTTGTTAGAGTCCACATATAAGTGAGATCATGTGGTATTTGTGTTTCTGTGCCTGGCCTAAAAAAACAAATAACCTGATTGAAAAATAGGCAAAAGAATTGAACACACATTTCTAAAAAGAAGACATATACAAATGACCAACAGATATATGAAAAAGTGTTCAACATCATTAAGAATTAGGGAAATGTAAATCAGAACTCCAATATTTCTTCACGCCAATAAGAATGGCTACTATTAAAAAATTAAAAAGTGGGGGAAAGGATGTGGAGAAAAGGGAACGCTTACATACTGCTGGTGGAAATATAAATACAGTCACTATGGAAAACAATATGCAGGCTTCTCAAAAAATTACAAATAGTTCTGATCCAGCAATCCCACTACTGAGTATATCATGGTGGTTCCAAAAATTTGTGGAAAAATATAATTAAAAGCTAATACAAATCTTTCCATGAACTCTTTAAACACCCTCATATATCCAAAAAAATGAAATCAGTTTGCTAAAGAGATATCTGCTCTCATATATCTATAGCAGCACTAGTCAAAGCACTAGATCAAAGAACACTTGAGACAATAATGAAAGTGCTGGAGAAAGTAGCTTACAACAAAGGTGAGTACAATCAGGAAAAATATATATTTATTGACAAATTTGACTTGAAAATTGAATGATTTAAGAGTAAGTTGGGACTTTCTGTTAATTAACCCCATGAGAGAAGGTGACCTTCTTCACCACAGTGCAGGGGAAGGATCCCCAGTACAGCTCCCTTCCCCTTTCTTCTATTCCCTGGGATGCCTGTGGAGATGACTATCCATCTCCTTTTGGAAAGACTGAATGTCTATCAAGGATACAGAGACCCAGACAGACTGAGTAGCCCCTGTGTTTTTGATAGAGGTGAGTGTAAATGACTGAGGCTTGGAGAGAAGGTATTCACTTGCCATGAATAAGAATAATAATTGAATAACCTGAAGACTCTATTACTGAAGAATTGAGCAGCTTTGAATACTTGTGCAATAGACTCTTTAAGGAGGAAACTCCAAACTTTACTAGGACTCTCCTTAGAAATGAACTGCCATACTTTCCTTTCCAAACAGTCCCTGGTTTTCTTTGCTCACTTAAGCATAACTGTCTTGTGTGTTGAATTATAATTGCACTTGGTGGCCTGGTTCTAAATTAAATTATTTGGCTCTGCTGTCTCTACTCTCTCTGCTTCCACCATCTTACAATGTGAGACCCCGAGACACTGTTGCCACCACCAGATGGACTTTGGACTTCCCAGCCTCAGAAACTATAAAAAACAAATGAAATTTATTACTTACAAATAAAAAAAAATTAAATTATTTGACACAAGTGGTTTTTTAC